CCCCAAAACCCCAAAACCCCAAAACCCCAAAACCCCTTTTACGTTGATTTAAGTTGATGGAATAAAGATGAGAAATTTTATAAATATTTCTCAAAAACTTCAGAAATTTTCAAGCAATAAAACATGTTGTCCCATAAACAACCAAAGCATAAGTTCAGGATTGACAATCCCATGGATATTGACTATGACAATCATGAAGATCAATCGTTAAAAGGTATTTAGCCTTCCGCACGATAGAGATAATTTATTATTATGTTGCTTAACTGACTCCATGTCTTTCTCTCTCTTCTTTCTTTTCGAGAGTCTTTTCAGCAACCGAAAGTAGCTAAATTTCTGAAATTTTTAAAAATGTGACTGATTCATACTGCTTAGATAGATTCGAATGAAAATCTACTTTCTGATGTTCCCTCCCAATTCCTATAATCATGAAATTTCTTGTGTGCGGTACATTGTTAGGCGCAATCTCGATGCATTCACCTTACTAGAGCTCATTAGAAATACCCCAGATTGTGCCTAAATATAGCTTTTGCTAACTTACCCTTTCATAGAGCCAGAATATTTGAACGAAAAGAATGATTCAGATGAGCCTAAAATCATCAATGTAAATTTAGAAGATGAGCCACTCTCCAGAACCACTAATTTTAGAAGCAGCACGAACAAACTCTCCAGCCCAAAGATTCTTGAGGAATATGAGAAACCTAAAACCATGATTAAATAAGATAATAAAAGGAAAAGATGCAGAAAATTTCAAAAATTACGAAGACTATAAGCCTGTAAGTGAGGTATTTGGAGGATGTAATCAGAGCCCGAATAAGAACATCAAGACTTACCCCAAAACTATGGAGACCAAGTACCTCAGCCTTTCCAGTATCAATGATGGGCTACTTTCACCAAGAGATCATTTTGGGAGAAACAAGAGCTCTAATTTCATTGTTGCTCCTTATCCTCAGAAAGTTAGGAACTCTTCCAAGAATTTGGGAGGTAAGGTATCTCCTAGGACCAAGATTCAAACTTATGCTACCTTATCCAAACGGAAGAGATCTCCAAATCTAAACAGAGTTAATTCCACCTTCAGTCAGGAGTACAAAACTGCTCTGAAAGGTTGAAATAATGAAACAAGGAGAAATAAAGATAACAAGAAATAAAACTGATTTCACCTTGAACTACGAGCTTGATGAAGTAGCCAGTTGCAGATATACTGACACTCAATATACACATAAAGATCTGAAAAGAGCTAAAAGTACCAAAAGAGTTGGTAGAATGGCCAAGCCTTTAGAGAGGAAAACAAATTTGTATACTTCTAACGGATTTTCACTTGCTTATTTAAGCCCTTCAAAAAATCAGAATTTAAGTCAAAGTTCAACAATCTACAAGATCCAACAAAGGTATGAAAATCGCATGAATTTTAGCATCAACAAGCTTGATGATAGAAAGAATTGTAAATATCAGGGAAGATCTAGCCCCGATCAACCTGCATCTTTCTCTTCAGTCTATGAAAACAAGAAAAAGCTCAATGACTACCACCGGAGCATGCAAGGAGATAAGAGTACAGTTAGCTCAAAATTCTCTGAGAGCCGAGAAAGCGAAAAGAGCTCAATGATATCATCTAAAAATGGAAAAGTTAATGACTATCCTTACCATGGGAACAAAAGAATTGAGAATTTCAGTCAAAAATTGCATACAGTATCTAATGCTCGTCTTCCCAGAGTCTCAAAAGACAGCAAGAGTATGTCAACCAATGACCAACTTCGAGAGAGGCTCAACAAGAATATTGACGACAGTTGAAAATCAAGTGTTGAGTCAAGACTAATTAAGGAGAATATTACTTCGAAAAAGAGAACTAGGAAATGCAACCCAAAGAGAATCCAGAAGTGAAAGTCAACCAACGAAAATGACATTCAGGATAGCTTATCAATGAATACCACTTCCAGTTTACTAAAGAGGAAGAAGTCTGATGAAATGAGTAAGGTGAATAATAAATCAAGCTATACTTCTTGACAAAAAGAGAGAGATACATCTACACAAGGGAACAGAACAGATAGATCCTCCACTAAGAAGGCCACATCGAGGCTGTGTAGTAAGATGAAGAGCCCTAGGACCAAGCCCTCTATAGGTAATAATCACTACTACACCTCCTCTAAGCCTCAAAATTGTACTACAAAAGAGACCAAGTCCACCAAAGTAATAAAATTACTCATAGATTTAGACCAAATTGCTAGAGAAAAATATGATTGAGAAGGAAGAGGTTATGCGTAAGAAGGAAATCAAATACATTTCAACAATTAAACAACTGGATGCTGACGTACAGAATTTCAAGGAACTATCAACCAGAATGCAACGGGGGCTCCAGAGAATAGAAGAGGTGGTGAAAAAGTGCAACCAATTCAACCTGGTGTTCCTCAATTACTACAAAGACTTTGAAGCCTTCGTACAAAAAGAAGAATCTAAGAAGGTATCTTTTGAGGCATCTAAGTATAAACCACTCCAAGATCAACTCCAGGTCTGCCTTAACCTCTGTGATTTTGGTATTCAAGAGGAAGATCAAGAGACTAGTAAAATTTTATCGACTGAGCTAGATGAACTCTGAAAGAAATATGAGGAAAATTTCAAGAGCAATAAAGACATCCAATCTTGCAAATTGGCAAAACCAAAGCTCTCTTGTGATGAGTTTTCATGAATAGTCTCATCAATCAACGAAGTTGAGAATACGAATGAATGATCCAGTCCAATTTCTGTCTCGATCCTAAGCTCCAGCAATACCGAGTCTTTCTCGTTTAATTGGGGAAATAGCTCTCAAATAGACATTGAGCTAGTCAAGAAGGATTTTATCAAACTTTGAGAAGAGAATAAATATCTCAAGAAGAGAATTGGGAACAGTTCCACAGTTTCCGACCTCAAATGAGAGATCTGACCTGGATATCTTGAGATTATTGACAGACTCACAAATGAGAAGGATGCTTTGGAATCTGAAATAGGTGCTCAAATTTCAGAAATAACTGATAAATATGAAGAATGAGAAACAGAGTTAAAGGCTGCTAATCTGAAATATGAACAACAAACTAGAGAGTTACTTCAAAAAATTGAACAAGAGGGAGAACTCAGAAGCAGAGTTTCATTGCTAGAAAAGAGAAATACAGACCTTGAAATGATAATTCAGAAGATTTCTCAGTCAAAAGATGGTTACGAAGACTTAGGCAACACAGTTTCAGATTTATCCCTTGCTTTGATAGGTAAAAATAAAAAGGATTTATCAAGCTCCCAGATTCAGCTGATCAAGAACTTATTCTCAGATGCTCAAATAAAAGCTGTTGATGGGTTTAAAGATAGAATAAACACTCTTGAAGAGGAGAAAGAGAAGATTGTCAACCAATCAAAATTTATTACTTCTCAAAACCAATCAATGCTAAAGCCTCTCAGAAGATACTCTATTGCAATAAAGGAATGAGTTGAGCTCTACAAAGTATTAGATTTTCAGAACAATATTATTCCTGATTCTGAAGGACTTAAGGACCTCAAAAACCATGCTATAGGCTTTATAGCCGAATATGAAGATAATGTAAATGAAGTATTGCCGACTCTAAATGCTTACACTAGCAATTTAAAAGAGAGTATAGAGGAAATAGGGAAATACTCCAATGCTCTAGAACCATATGATGAGAACCTTCCTCTTCAGATGTGTTCCCCATCAAGAAAATCTTGCCAAAAGTTTGATTATAAGCAACTAAACCTCGGAAATCCCGCATGAAGCCTTGATCGCGACACAGAAAATTCAATGAGCAGGATTGAGTTTTCCTCTGTCCTTCAGACTGACAACCAAGATGTGACGCCTAATAAAGATTTAGATGAATCAAAAAATTTCCAACTGAGCCTTATACAGTCTTTGAATGATTTTGACAATATCGATGAAGATCAAGAGAAGCTCAGAGATAAGAAACCAATCAGGAAGAGCAAGAAGAAATTCAAGAAGAAAACTGCATATGAGAAGAGACAGCAAATGATAGAAGAAACTTTAGAAGAATTAGACCATTTCAATAAGGAAGAAGCCCCATTTGAAGTAACAGTCATAAATGCTCAGAATAAACTCATCGATCTTGAGACAAATACTATCAAAGAAGCTGATGAAAGAGATGAGGAGGACACCCAATTTGACAAAGATGGTAATAAGATATTGAGGTCTAATAACTCCTTACAAGGAGGTAGTCTAAAGGGTAAAAAATCCATGACTGACATTCTTGTCATCCCAGGAGAAAACCTTAAATATGATATTCCTTCAATCCTCGGAGAGGCAGGGCTGACTAAAACCCAAGAAATCTCATTAGACCAGCTAAACTCCCACGATATTCACTCTCTAGAGAGTGAATCTGTAAAAGTGGAGGAAGATCTCCTGAACGATAGCATCAAATTCGATGAAAATTTACTCTAATTTTCCAAAAATCAACAATTTATTCCAATTTTTGACTAATGTTCAGGGGTTTTGGGGTTTTGGGGTTTTGGGGTTTTGGGGTTTTGGGG